CTTCATGTTTAACAGCGTATTGGTATAATACCTTGGACCCAGATAGTTGAAACTCCTTTTCCAATTTCAAAATATCTATTTCTAGTCTTTCTATTTCTGCCATATATTTCTTTTTAATACCTTTTGTATAATAGATTATTTGTCCCCTTCAATAAGCTTTAAGTGTGTCCCATAGTATAAAACTATTGGGGGAGGAAGGACAGTTAGTCTCGCAGAATAGCTTTATCTGGTCCCTAATAAACATGCAAAAATCAGGTTTTTGAGGAAGGGTAGGGTTCATTCGCCATCTATATGAGTTAGTTTTTTTTTCTGGCATCAAAATAGACAGGGTCAAAGGAGAATGATCAGACAGGGTCCTAGATAAATATTCAGATTCCAATGCTCTATGAACTAGCTGCGTTGATAAGAGAAAAAGGTCGATCCTAGTATGAGACTTATGGGGACAGGAATAGAAAGAGTAGTCTCTGCTTTGTCTCTGTCTCCAAACATCTGTCAAATTTAGATCTTTCATAAATGCCAGGGTGGTTTTGGCAGCTTTTGATTTAGATACTGCCAAGGATGACTTACCCAGAATAGGATCCAAAAATGTAAATCACCCCCTACCAGTATGTTTTGTCGTCCCCCTGACACCTTAAGAAAGATATCTTGAATAAAGGATGCATCATCATGGTTGGGTGCGTATAAGTTTAAAAGTGTCCAGGGTTCTGAGTAAATCTGACAATTAACTAATACATATCGGCCTGATGGATCAATAATAGTTTCTCCAATCGTCACTGGAATGTTTTTATTTATTAAAATAGCTACTCCCCTGGCTTTGGTGTTAAAGGATGATGAAACTACATGTCTTACCCAGTCTCTCCTCAGTTTATTATGCTTCTGTGCGGTAAGATGGGTTTCTTGTATAAAAGCAATATCAATTTTCAGTTTTTTCAGGTGTGTCAAGACTCTTTTCCTTTTAACCGGTCCGTTTAGTCCATTCACATTAAAGCTAAAAAATGTCACTGCCCTGTTCATCAACAATAAGAGTATACATCGATCATTGTATTATGGCCTCTTTGTGAAGTCACCATGCAAGTGTAAATGTATCTCCCGCAGTAAAGTGGCAAAAAGTAAGATAAAGCACTGACAATAGAAAGAAAAAAGAAAACGCTCCCACCCACCCACCCCTCTCCCCCCGAAGTGCCTACTCCTGAACATCCGGCACAGAGATACAATATTCTTCTTCTTTCTTTTAACCCTTCTTTTGTAGGACTTCGACCACCACTGTCCGTGGGTGAACAACTGCATTGGCAGGAGGAACTACCGCTACTTCTTCCTCTTCCTCCTCTCTCTGACGGCGCACATCATGGCCGTGTTTGGGTTCGGCATGCTCTTCATCCTCTACCATCGGCAGAATATTGACCGCCTGCACGCCATCGTCACGTATCCTTTTAGGATCCGTTTTTTGTAGTTTTTCCTTTTTAGGGATGGCAAACCAGTTTAAACATATTCTGGACAACCAGTTTCGATAGCACCATGAAATCAAAACATTGATCTTGTCTCTTAAGGTTTTTCCTTAACCCCCGTGCTCTCAGGCTGGCTGTAATGTGTGTTGCAGGCCTGTTCTTCATCCCTGTGGCTGGTCTCACTGGCTTCCACATAGTGCTTGTGGCCAGAGGCAGGACTACTAATGAACAGGTGGGAACTTCACTAACAATTCGTAGTCCCAGAAATCCTGTAGTTGATATTTTTTAGCCACAGATAGCTGGGTAAATGTTGGCTCTCTGTAAATAATAACAAGAGTACAATCTAGATCAGCACTAAAAGAAAAGTGTCTGTTTGTGATATATGACTACAATAGAATAGGAAAATGCAGAGAAGGACATGTCTGTTTAAGGTGTAGAAACAAAGTGGCAACAGCTGCTTTGGAAAGATGTGGAACTAGGAAAAAACCCAATATTACAGTTTGACATTATGAGCTATTTTCCCTTTTCCACACAGTTTTAGTTCAGGTGATAATCCTACTTGGTACATAGATGTTCTCTAGGTATATATATTTAAGCCCCACATGCTTTGTTATCAGAATAAGTGACATTATTCAGAACATATTGAATATAAGTGATCATGCCCATACTGTATTCATTTCATTTGAGTGGGGACATGTTCAATAACCTTTCATACTTTATCCATCCTCCCTCTCATCTTTTGATATCTCTGATGTCCCTCTCTTTCTTCAGGTGACAGGGAAGTTCAGAGGAGGTGTTAACCCTTTCACCAATGGCTGTTGGAAGAATGTCTCTCATGTCCTCTGCAGCTCACAGGCACCCAGGTGCATATTCTTCCTTTTTCTTTTTTTGTAGCCTACATGCTCATATAGTTTAGTTATACAACAGTAAATGCACTACAGTAGATATGATGCGCCCTGGTGCCGGGCGCTTGCTAACTTTCCTGTTGTGCCGATTCTGGCCGGAGAGACGTTATTACCAGCAGGTGGATATACCTTAAAAAGAGCCATAACCGTGCTCGTCATAGGTGCGCTTCGGCGAAAATACTACATCCCTGACAGCGCTCGCCGCTCCACGGTTATGCAGGCTTGAATTTCTGAAGAACAAAATGCAATAAAAGATGTATACATTCCTTGATGATGTCATTCTTTATCAATTGTTTTCAAGCTTAATAATAACCACAGTTAATATGTAACTTCCAATTTGTCACGTTGACCGGTAAGATTCTTTTTCTAACAGAAACTCTGGTGAGTATATCACTGCATTTAGAAGAAGTCTTTCTTGTGACAGAAGTGCATTTGTGCAGTGGTTGGTCTTCATGGTTGGGTCTGTGCTCTCTGCAGGTATCTGGGCAGGAAGAAGTGTGTGCAGAGTGTGTGTGTGCAGCCTCCCTTCCTGCGGCCGCAGCTGACAGAGGCCCAGCTGGCTGCAAAGATCCTGGACAACGGCATCCAGGGAGATCTGCACCGGGTAAGATCAGCAGGATGGAGCGGCGGTATAAAAACAAATAGAGTTGCTTTGGCCTTTTGGTCAAACACACGTGAGGTAAATGTGATGTGCTTCTCACTCAGATTGCACTTGGTTAGTCTACTTATAGGCAGGTCCAGGTGGCAGCAGGTGGTTTAGAAGCTATTTAAAAAATATATTGGTGGGCTTGATTGCAAAATGAAATATTCCCACAGGGATAGATATGTATAATATGTGTAGTAAATGTACAGGTAAGAAAATGATTTCAGAGTGAAGCAGGAAGAAGCGGTTATTTCCAGGTCGTCAAGCATTCTCTGGCAGCAGCCACAGTTTAAAAAGACAGGTCAAAGTAAGGCTGGGTCTGATGGTAAATGACCAATCTACCTGGCTAGTTTTTGTCATTTTTAGTAGTTAAGTAATAGGAATACACTTTTCAAGTGTGTTGTAAGAGACTGGTTATTCAGTGGAAGCCTCAAGGTGCATGGACATTTTGATAAATGCATTTTGAAAACTGCAACCGTTAAAATTGAAATCTTTATAATGTTAACATAAATGTGAAGCAGCATTACCTGGTGAGGGAGATGCAAGATTCAGATTCACTTTCAATGTTATTCATACAGAGAATGTTCTGTGGAAAGTTGATTAACAATTGCAGATAGATGCATAGATTGAAAAAAATGAAAGGAGATTTAGTTTTCCCCAGTATAATATTGTTTTGATAATCAACCCCTTTAACATCTGTATTCATAGTATAATGTTGTTTTCATAACCCTCCCCCCTTTAACATTTGTATTCATAAAACAATCTTGTTTTGATAATCACTCCCTTACCCCCTTAAAGATAAACAGTAAAATAATGTTCAGAATCAGTCACTATACTCATGGCAAACCAATGATTTGGCATCATGCAATAACACTAAGTAATGTTGTGGATGCATTGAGCTGCCGATAAGTTGCACCTGATATCAAATGTGATATTGCACTTGATCGTTTGTTGCAGTTAATGATGCATTTAATTGGGATACAATTTTTCTTTTTTTTTATCTTTATAATATTTGCATTACGATGTTATTATTTTAGGACAGATGGAGATTTTTAAATCTCACATACTCCCTGCAGTACTCCAAAGAACCCCTAGGAGGACACTCACTGCCATTTGAAAAACACTTTTCTGAATGATACTAATTTGGTATTTTTAACAAAGGAGGGGAAGTAATACCATGACTTACTGTACATTTCAGTCATGTGATTCTTTGACTTTGTATTTCTCTTCCATCCAGTCCAAGTCCAGTCTGGAGATGATGGAGAGCCAGTCATGTGACGCTGAGCCTCCACCTCCTCCCAAACCGGAGCTCCGCTACCCTGGGATCACCCGAGGAAACACAGAGGGTAACGCTTTCTGACTCTTAACCATACAATGCTCTGGTTCACTACTTCACAGTGAGTTTATTCAATTATTTTTCTTCCCACCCTCCTGCAGAGTGCAGTCTACTGAACAAAGCCCCTCCCACCCCCACCATGTACAAATACAGGCCCACCTACAGCCCTGGGAAGAACCACACAGCGCTCACACATGCTTACGCCAACCAGGTAATCCACACATGTACAGCAGGCTGCATCTGAACAAGCAGGGGTGCATAAATGAAAGGGACATGGAGGGTGTAAGGGGGCATTGAAACAGATATAGTACTATATTACACACAATTACAGAACACTTTATTAATCAGAGCACTCGCACATTTAGAGCACTACATATTTGTCTATCTTTTAAACAATAAAAGGAATCAGGCAGAGATACTGCATGACCTATGACACAGTGGTCTACAGTTTATTGATCAAGCTAGTGTCTATGTTGAGCAGGGGTCGTACCAACATATCGTTTTTATGAGTATAAAAGCAAGACATTATTCGGCATCCAGTCTTGACACTGATTTATTAATGTGGAACTGATCGGCTGTCAAGATATGCATTATCAGTGTAGATTAAGATTTCCTTTTTTCTAGAATTACTATAATTTGTCCAAAGGGTGTTTATATAAATACATCAAAAAAAGAGGGCCAAGGATTAAGCCTCGATATTTTACATCGGAAATAATAATTTTGTATTTTTACATTATAAACACATCTCGTTCTTTCTGATAGCTAGAAATGTAAATCATGTGAGAGCCAGGCCAGTTGTTCCTTAAAACAGAGTGGTCAACAGTTAAAAAGCTGCACTAAGAAATACAGTGCTGAAATCTGAATCCAGGAGACTAGAAAAAGGGAAGTAAAAATAAAGAAATGTTTCTATTTCATATTCATTTCTTCAACATGATACAGCTCTGAAACAAATGAAGAGACCACTCCACATGATTCTTAAATCTCAATCTCTACATGTATGGCAGCCATTCCATTCCAGTGTCTGTTGAATTCCTTCACAGAGAAATGTTGTCAGTAGTTTATAGAATAAAAAAAAAAAAAACGTCAATTTGACTCAAACACATACCTATATAGTAAAACCAGAGAAACTGATAATGCTGCAGTGATCTCTTAATGTTTTCCAGAGCTGTAGTATCCAATCAGGAGTGTTGCCTGATGCGCTGTAGATCTATGAATAGGTCTTGTGCTAATTGGAGCAGGATAGCTTATATTAGTAGTAAATATTGGTGGCAGTGCAATGATGTAGGGATACAATTTAGATTACTTCAGATGCTCTGAATGGGACATCATGTGACAGTTTGCCACTGCCAGAAGTAGGGATAATAATCAGATTTCTATTATTCACATATTTGGTAAGGCAAGGTATTAGTAATACAGTGAAGCTGACAGTCTCAATTTAAAAATCAGCTATCAGTATGTAACTAAAAGTATATCAGATGCACTAAGGTGTGTGTGTTTTCTGTTTTGTTTTTTTCATTTGTCCCTGCCTTTCAATCTAATGCATCTCCATTTTTGTTTGTTTTTTGATTTCCTGTCGCCCATCTGGGTTTGGTTTCTCAGTGGCTTTCTGTCGATCAATATCAGTAAGTGGTTGTGCTGAAAGCAATTTTCCTCATATTTTCTTTGTTTCCTGCCCCTTTCTGTTTGCCTGGACATGGGTGAACTACTGTGTTAATACATCTAGAGACTGGATTCATCTCTCTGGTAATGTATAGGGCTGAGGAATAGAGAGTCCTTTGTGTTTGAATCAAAGGACTGTATCCAAGTACATCTAGACATGGTACGGATGGTTCTACTCAGAATTTTTACCCATGTCCGGTTCATTTCCTCCTACCTGTCAATCCACAACTTTGTTTTGATTTTCCTTAATTTTTCCCGAATGAGAAGTCTCCTGTAGATTCACCAAGAGCTTGTCAAAGAAGTAGTCAAACACAGTATCAAAAGTACCACAAGTGCCCTTCGTATATAATTTGATGTTTCAGCTGGGTTCTTCTCATAAGGCGCATTCACACCGCAGTACTTTTCCCACAAAGGTTCATGTACATAGTACATGAGAACTCTTTAGTTCTCATGAACTAAGTACAGACCGCGTTCACACCGGAATAAATCCCTGAGGGAGGATTAGGCAAATGAAGCCGCTGACTTCACTATTTATTTTTCTGCTTTGGGTTTACTGGCAGGCCGCAAACCACTTCACGGCGTATACTGCCACCCGAAGTCCCCGGCCGGAAGTCCCCGGGGACTGGCTTCAGTAGGCTTCCTACTGAAGCCTTCCGAGTAAATCGCCAGAACGCCGACACCTCCTCATCTCCACCGCTCCCATGTTTTCTTTTGTGTTGCCATAAGTTAGTCTCTCTGCGTTTCTGCGCTGGGCTAATGCAAGGATAATAAAATGGCGGCTTCACAAAACTTTTTGGAGTTTTACGGGCCGTGGTTTGCAATCCGCCCAGCCACTCAGACATAGGAACCTTGTTCTCCCACAAAAGTACCTGCTCTCTAGCAGGGACGGAAAAGGGGGTAAAAAGGTTCTGATGAACTAATTTTAGTTCCGGCTCTTTTTGGTGTGAACGTGACATTTCGGAACTATATCGGAACTAAAGTGGGAAAAGTACTGCGGTGCGCCTATACAGAGATGAGCCTAATGACGACTCAGAAAGAGGAATCATGTTCCCTCTTCTCCTTGGTTGCAGTTTGAGGTGTAAGCAGTAAAAGAAGCAACAAAATAAGTTGTTACTTTTAAGTGATAATGACAAAAGTTTATTTCAAAATTCACGAGGATATTATGACTTGTGTAATGAAACATTTGTGACCTCGATACACAACATGTATACATTACGCATACATACAACCATTTATCATACTATATTTTCCGTTTACAGTCTTTTGTTGTGTTGCATTTTTTTATTTGACTTTTTACCCTCACAACACCACAGTACCAGAAACATTGGTATCAAAATAAACATATTAAACTTGTGTTACAGTTAGTGTGCTGTATCCAACTAAAGCTTTCCTCCTCAAGCTCAGCCTCTGTCTGCATACCATACAAAATGTGTTCACCAGTCTGAAATGTTACTACATGTATGCAGTTGGTAAAAAGTAGAAGTACCCGAGTGAAGGAATACATTTTTACAAGTAAAAGTCCTGCATTCAAAATGTTACTCGAGTACAAAAGTATTAGCATCAAAATATACTTAAAGTACCAATGGGGAATTTAAGTGAAAACCACGCCAAAGAGGCAAAGAGTGGGGGTGCAGCTCCATAGATCAAATGAGAAACAAACTCAGAATAAATGTCTCCAGACCGGGACCAGTGACCGGCGCTCTGCCTTATTGTAAGGTGTGCAGAGTCTTCCTCTGTCCACGCCTCCTCCATCTCAGCACTGTGATCTTCTAAAGGCCCTCGGCATCAGAGCTGACCTGAGTGGAGCTGTTGTGTCAGGAAGTGTACACTAGAGGGAGTGAGAGTGCAGCAGGAATCAAATCAACCTTTATTTATATAGCCCAATATCACAAACACTTTCTCTGAGAGGGCTTTACAGATTAACAAACTTAAATTACAGTGCTAAAAGATCAAATTAATTTACAATAATATAATAAAAAGACAAGATAGCATGTCAAATACAAATACAATCTGATCAAATACAACAAAAATACATTAAAAACAAAAAGATAAAATGGATGACAAACATTGGGCACTCTTAAACCAGCTTTAACTTTATGCTTTTGAAGGTCTTCAGAACACTCTTAATATTTTGTACATGGTCTGCCTCCCAAATAAAAACGGTTGGTTCCAGAGAGAGGGAGCTTAGTTGAACGCTCTCATCTGGTTTTGGGGGACCTGCACTCTGGACGTAATGCCCGAGAGGGGCAATAGTGGATTCAAATATCTTTTAGGTAGGATGATGCCTGACCATTAAGCGCTTTGTAAGTAAGAAGTATTTTCAATTAGATTCTGTAATTTACTGGGAGCCAGGGTAGAGCTGCTAAAATTGGAGTGATGTGGTCCTTTTTCCGTGTTTTGGTTCATAGACAGGCTGCAGCAAGTTGTACCAGGAAGTACAGCAGGAAGTAGTTCAACTCCAGGTTGCTCCCTTGCTCAGCTGCTTGTTGTTTCTTTTCCCTCTCCTCCTCCTCTTCCTCCTCCTCCTTTTCATCCTCCTCCCTCCTCCAGCTGAGTCGAGGAGAGAGTGTTGGCACTGGCAGTGCAAAGGACTCCTCCTCCTCCACCTCCTCCCTCCTCCAGGCCAGTCAGCAGCCCGGTTTCCGCTCCCAGCCCAGCCTGGACCGCAGGGACGCTGTGGGGGGGGCGGGGGTTGGAGCTGGGGAGGAGAGGAGGGAGGGGAGAAGAGAGGTGGGGGGCATCCCTGGCTACACCCTCGGTGGACGTTCGTACCCCTCCTTCTCATCCAGCTCCACCCACACCTCGGCCGGCACCACCCACCTCTCCGAGGCAACCACCACCTCCGCCAGCTTCAAGAGCTTAGCCAATCAGACGCCCCCGCCTCACCACCCGTCCCGCAACGGGAGCCTTTCGTATGACAGCTTGGTGGCAGATGGAGAGGACTTCAACAAAGGGGTGGTGGTGGCCCCTGAGGCTCCGTCTGGGAGACCCTGTACGCCGGCAGCAGGCGGCTACACCTCCCCCTTCCTGTCTCACCCGAGAGACGCTGAGATGCAGTCGCCCCACCACTACCACCGCTCCTCCCACCTCCACCACCACCAGCCCTTCCTCCATCGCTCCTCCTCCACCACATCCTCCTCCCCCCCACCTCCCCTAGACAGGGAGCGCCTGCTGGGGGATCCTCACCCCCCGCCAGCCAATCACACCTCTGCTCCGCCGTCCTCTGCCGCCCCGCCTCCCCCACACCATCGCCACCACCACGCCCATCACCACCACCACCACGCCCACCATCACCACCACTCTTCTTCCTCTTCATCCACCAGCCGCCCTCCCCGCTTTGCCGGCCCTTACGCGCCCCCCCACCACCATGCCTATCCCTACCGCACCCGATCCACCGACACCCCCCTGGGACCCTCCTCCTCCACCTCCACCACCCACCCTCCCCGCTCGCCCCACCCCCCGCCCCTGGGCAAGTCTCTCTCCTACTCCAGCGCCGCCGCAGCAGAGATGCAGTACCGGCTCGTCCGTAAGGCCTCAGCGTCAGCCGGGGCCAACGCGGCGGGGGTGGGAGGAGGAGGGGGAGGAGCTGGGGGAGGAGGAGGAGGAGGAGGAGGAGTAATGCTGCCCCCAAAGTGAGTATGACCTTCGCCTTTTGTCGGGACCATTGGTTTGCACCTGCCCGCCTCAACAGCTGACTACCTGATTGACTGCTCTTCCTGCTTCTCCTCCTCCTTCTCTCCTCCTCCTCCTCCTCCTGCCAGGTTTCCTGTGAGTTGTCTCTCTTTCCCTTTGCCTGTCTTCCATGTGTCTGAGCTTTCATGTGTGATGCTGCGTTATCATAGGAATCATCAGTGCATCATGTGTTCTGTTCTGTACTTTTAATATCACGTTCTCACAAGTCACCCCCAGACACAGACAACATTTAGCATGAAGGCGCCTGGTCTGTCTGTCGCTGCATGTTCCCGTCTTCCCCTGCTCACTGTCCCCCCCATGCACAGGGTCATTTCATTGTGTCTCCACTGTGAATACTTGTTGAGTTTGAATGCTGCATGAAATCCACTTTTCAGATGATCTGTGTTGAATCAGTGAAATAAAAATATGGTTTTAACTTTCATACTGAGATACAAAAATGTTTCCGCATCACACTTTTATTTACTTATGAAATCTTTCTTAATGAAGGAATACCCTGATCACATTCACAGCAGGAGGCTCCACAGTCTGACTGCTCAGAGTTCCGTGCTCCTCAGTGGTTATGAGGGGGGGGGGGGCTGTGCCCTGAAACAAAGACTGATAGTTTTACTTTGGGTGATATGATTATTAAACTATTATAGCATTCTATATGCATATCACACAACCTAACCCTGCCAACACTGCTCATAATCAGCTCCGCCAGTCCTTCAAAACATAAATATATACATATATATGCAGATATATATTCTACTTAAAGTTTCAAAAGTACTCATAGAATGACAAATACTCAAGTAGTACAAAGAAAAGATGTATAAAGTACAGTACTTGAGTAAATGATGATGCTGTTAGGGTCTCTCTCCTCAGGGTGCAGTGTGATGATGGTGTTAGGGTCTCCTCAGGGTGCAGTGTGATGATGGTGTTAGGGTCTCCTCAGGGTGCAGTCAGTGTGATGATGGTGTTAGGGTCTCCTCAGGGTGCAGTGATGATGATGGTGTAGGGTCTCCTCAGGGTGCAGTGATGATGGTGCTAGGGTCTCCTCAGGGTGCAGTGATGATGGTGTTAGGGTCTCCTCAGGGAGCAGTGATGATGGTGTTAGGGTCTCCTCAGGGTGCAGCAGAGACTGTGTTCTCTGTGTGGGAGGACAGAGCTCTCTCTGGACTTCCTGCCCCTCACACTGTCTCTGTGTCCTTCCTCCTTCAGGGATGAGCTGATCCAGAGGAAGCCTCTGAGTCGGTCCAATGGCGGCCAGCCCTTCTCCTCCTGCTCCGCCCCTTCCTCTCCCTCTCACCCAATCAGCGTGTGTGCCCGACCCGGAGTGGCCTATCCCAGCTCGACCCTGACCCACAGTCCTGCTCACAAGCCTCAGGGGGGCGGGGTGAAGAAGGTGACGGGCGTCGGGGGCACCACCTACGAGATCTCTGTGTGAGCGGCCACCAGACCCCCCCTGGAGGAGCGAAGAGGAGGTTCTGCGGCCTCCTCCCCCTCTGAGGGAGAGAAACCGCTTTTGAGGGTCTGAGGAGGAACCAGATCTCACTGCTGGTTGGCTGTGGAGCTCGACTGGATCCACCGCACTTCCTGTGCAGGTCACGTGATGCTGGAGCACGCAGGAACCTTCTCAGTCTGCGCGCTGTGTTCAGGTGTTACATTATGCATTCCCACTGCCAGGGGGAGGGCTCTGACCCCCACCAACTGTAACGTTACAGTCTGCTTGCCAGCACTGTGAACCCAGAAATGTTGAGTACCCCAAAGTTTTATGTTAGAAATTAAGTAGTGGCCCTCCAGTAATTACAAACTGCCGGATGGATAATATGTTGGGCAATTTGCACAATTAGCATAAATTGCGTTAATTGGCATTAATTAGCATTGCTATGTGGACAATAGTTTAAAAAAGGCTTGGCCGATTTGGAGGATTTTAGAGTGGATTTGGGGGTTATTGAGGACGCTGAATCCGTTTCTGACATTTTCAGGATCAAAAATGGAAGTTTAACCAGAAAGTGGCTATATTTGTACTCTGGGTGGGCTGATTTTGACTACCATGAGAAGTGTTAGAGACAATTGGATATAGAGGGCACAAGTTGAAACTCTACCTATGAATTCTACTGTGAAGAATTATTGTTCCAATAAATAAGCAATGTTTCCAATACAAATGATCCAGAGTCCACTAAAACTTAAAAATGGACCCAAATTTGTCAAAATCAGCCCACATAAGCCGCTTTCACACCAATTACTTAGTGCCGGCACTTAGTGCCCCCAGGGCACTAAGTACCAATCGCGTTCACACCTGAATAAGTTCCCTGAGGGAAGATTACGCAAATGAGCCGCTGACGTCACTTTGTCTTCTTCTGCTTTGGGTTTACTGACAGGCCGCAAACCACTTCACGGCGTATACTGCCACGCGAAGTCCCCGGCCGGAAGTCCCCGGAGTTGGGGATTGGCTTCAGTAGAAGCTGCTGGGACTCCCAGCAGCTTCTACTGAATCCTTGCGAGTAAATCGCCAGAACACCAGAACGCCGACACCTCCTCATCTCCTCATCATACATTATATTTACAGGATACATTTACATAGTTATTCACATTTACAAGTGCCCATAGTATCAACGAGCATTTCATTTAGCCTAGCTTTAAAAACATGCGGAGGAATGAGATTGCTCTGTTTCAATTCTTGCTGAAGATTGTTCCCAGCAAGTGGAGCTGCGCACATAAAAGCTGTCTTACCTAAGACAGTCCTTGCTCTTGGCACATCTAACAATACTACATCATGCGATCTCAGACAATAGCTGCTTGCAACTTTCTGTGTTATCAGAGAGCAGATATAATACGGGAGTTTACCCAACAAAGCTTTATAAATAAACGTGTACCAATGACTGAGCCTCTTTACAGTAAGTGATGGCAAACCTGCCTTGGTATACAGGGTACAGTGATGTGTAAGTGCTTTACAATTTGTGACAAATCTCAGTGCACTGTCATAGGCGGCATCTAACCTGTTCAGGCAATAGGCAGGTGCATTCATATACAACAAATCACCATTCCAGCACAGGTAAAAAGGTCACAGTGACTAGCCTTTTCCTGGCCTCAAGTGAGAAACAGGACTTGTTTCTGAAAAATAAACCTATTCTAACCCTCAGCTTTTTAAGCAGGTTATTGACATGAAGTTTAAAAGTCAATCATCAAGCCAGACACCTAGACATTTATAACAGGTAACCACTTCAAGTACTTGTCCTTGCATACAATATCCAAAGCAGTCTCTGGAGTCTTTTTTGCTTTTGAAAAAAGCATTACCTTGGTTTCTCAACATTTAAAAGAGCTTAAGCTCAGCGAGCTGAGTCTGAATAATGTTAAAAACAGCCTGTAATTTAACACCAGCCTCCTTAAATGAGGGACCTGCACAATACATCAAAGTATCATCCGCATAAAAATGTAAATGTTCACCTAAACTGTTGATATAGATGGAGAA